GCTAAAAGTGGCGGTTAAAAGCGAATAAGAGGGGGGACGTACAGATGGGGTTTTTGGTTTATTTAGGGAAAAGTCGGGGGGGGGGGGGGTGAATTTTTCAACCAACTCAGACACATTAAAAATGTACCCCCTAAAAAAGTATGTATATCCAAAACTTAATTCTGACTTATGCGACGATCCAAAACTGCACCCCTCACAAAATATTATCGAGGCGATATTTTCACATAGAATACTGCTTGCCAGTAAACCACAGTCCAGTCTAATGCCATCTATCTGAGATCCTCAGTATATTAAATGCACTCCACAAGGAAGCTTTTTCTGAAGGCAAAATACGTACGCACTACAATATTGAAAGACAGAAACCAAGAAGGAATAATCTAGATTTATTCTCTCTTGCAGAAAACGAGACCCCGCGCCAGCATTTCTACTGCAAATATCAAATTGCATGGGGGTCACTAGCCTGTTCCAGGCTCTCCCCAGTTCCCTCCCGTTTTATTTTCGTATTCGCGCTTTCTCACTCGCGGACCCGACTACCCCGGAGCCTGGAACAGGCTAACAAGTCACATATTGCAAATTTTAAATAACGTCACCGCACCTCACGCTTTCCCCCCCTTTTAAACTGAGACCTACGCCTGTCCACAGAATGTTTCTTCTTTTTTCAAAATTCGACAGCGCGCGAGCGAAGCACGCGAAAGCGCCTGTCAACAAATCCCCCGCGGTTTTTAGTTTCATACGCGCTTGACGATCTCTAGAGAGAAAACAAAGGGTCTATGAACAGGCTAACTGCCGGACCAGGTAGTTAAAACATAGTTTAATTTAATATATCTGTGCAAAACAGCAACACAAAAGGTTGAAACAGCATTATTCAAAAAGTTTAACCCCCCCCCCCCCAAAAAAAAAAAAAAAAAAAAATAAAAAAAACAAATTTTACCTTTCCCCAAGTCCCAACACAAAAAAAAAAATTATCCCAAAACACCATTTTTTTTTCCAATTTTTTTAAACCCCTT